TAATATTTACTACTCCTAAATTAACTACTATCTCATAAATTAGGAAATATGAAAATAAATATGTATTATACGTTGACAAACGTGACTCTATATCAATGAGATAAAGGAAGTGGTATTAAGTTCAATAGGGTGATAAAATGACACCATTATAATTAAAAATAAAATACCTTAATATTTGGCAAATAATCACAGTCTTACATCGACAGTTTTACATTTAATAATTTCCTATGTTCCAGATAAAAACAAAAACTTTGTACTTCTTTTCACCTAACACTATAAGGCCTTTATTCACGAGTAGGACATCGCAGCGAAATTAAACGAACAAATATTCGCTGGTCTCCAGGTAGTCTTACACATCTTTGTTGCACTTGATTCGGTTTGATTTTGGTAATGTAGGTAAAAGTCTTTGTTGAAGGATTTTTAACAGTTTATCCAGGTGTACGAACGGAATCTTACATTCAATAGCCCACACCCGTAGTTTCGATATTTCTTCAATTTCTTCTACATCTATTATATTATGCTCGTCCACATCACTCTGATCGCTATCGTTATTATCGATTTCTTCATTTACAATGTGTTTGCACAAGCTCGCGCACGAGCCTGATCTCGAGAATTTGTTGAGGAAGGAAAAAATAAAAAGAATCCGTTTATTGAGAGAGAGATTGCGTTTCGTGATTTATGTAATTAAGAAAATTTAGATTGGGCCGAACTATACAAAGAATACCAACATTTGTTGCATAGGGGAAGGGAAACTGCCCTAAAACCTTCCCAGTATTCGTGAACAAAATTATACATTTGTAATAGAAAAATACGATATGAGTAAAATAAATGTATCAAATACACAAAAGAAAAAAATGAATGGTTATCGTAGAACAGTCCTTTCTTTTGAATTATGAAAAGAGAAATATATTTCTTATATTTCTTGATAGAATTCTGTATCATTAGACAATGTTATTTATAAAAGGAATTGAACTTAGTATGTACGCATATAATGTATATTGACGAAGTCAAGCTCAAAATTAGTTGTTAGTTATCAAAGAAAGGATTGTTCAAAACATCGACATAACTCAAACTAAAAACATGAATATCAGTGTAGATATAATTCAAACAATCAGGGAAATAATGCATCAATCGTTTAGTTAAATTATAAATAATGGTTATCGGCCTTGTGAATAATATTCTTCGTGATTTGAATGTTAACTGAGTATTACAAAACTTGAGTATAAATCACGACAAAGGAATATTTTACTTCATGAGCTTTTACTACGACACGAGCGATAATTACGACAAAGGCAATGAATGCAACACAAGCATTTAATACGATACGGGTAATAATTTTCAAATGAGTGTATTGAATTACACTTTTAAGAGGCCTTCCTCTTTGATTGACACATTAACTCACCATAGAATAAACGTAATATTAGATAATTTATAATTCGCAAAATAATCACTAGGATAATATAAAGTAATTGAGTAAGAGATTTTATTGCAACGCAAGCAAACGGTTATTTGATAATGTTATTACAACGCCTGAAACGATTTATATGTATTTCGCAAGTAAAACATTCTAAGTTAGTAGTGAATGTAACGAATGTACGCAAGTTAACGTAATTAACTACAAAATATATTATAGAATTGATTATAACGAATTAATCGCACAAAAGAAAGAAGTAAAGTTTTTCATTGTAAATAAAATATAGTTGCAACTAAACAATTAATTAATTTATGGACTTTTAGACTGAGCTCAGTGTTACAATTAAACTCGAGATAAAATCCTAATATCTTTTCAAAAGGCGAGGAAGTCTTCCTCTCGCTTGCTCTCGTGAATTCTGCAAGCGATAACCGCAAAGGGTAACCTTGAGAGGATTGAAAATCCCTCTCGTAACGGTAGACGATAGTCTTACGTTCTCACCTCGTAACGGTAGACGAGAGTCTAACGTTCTCACCTCGTAACGGTAGACGAGAGTCTAACGTTCTCACTCATGTATATTGATAAAGGTTATGATTGAAGATAACATCACATAGGATGTTCACACAATGAATATATGTCGAAAGGACCAAGCCAAAAACCCATTTATCCAAGACTTCGAAAGGGCGTTTTATCTCATGCCGAAAAGGCTTTCTCGAACGTTCCAGAAAATGGCTGCCTTCCTCGAGCTTTTCACGTGCCGGCAAGGCTCGCTGGGACGTATCTCACTGGCTTCCTTTCTGCGACGACAGTTGTCCTTTATTTGCTGCGTATACGATCCACCGGTATATTGGCTGCTGCACACTGAGAGGCAGATCTCGACTACCTCACAACTCGATTACAAGTTAACACCGAAAAGATGACGCAACTAAGTATTTTATTCGAACTGATTACAACGGGTGTGTAACGCACGATGTCCGGAAGACGAATGCTCGCTCGCCCGGGCTGCGCGCCCCTCCCAACATGCTCAAGCATGCGCGGTAAACTTGCGCCTCGCCGCCTGGGACGCAACGTAGTCGGCGCCGCTTGCGCGCCTTTTCACCGACCTACGTAGAATGCGCGGCCCGACCTATCGCATTACAACTGCCACTAATGGCCGCAAAAAAACAACACAACCTCTCTCTCTCTTTTTCAACTTCAAACACAATGTAAGTTTCTGAATCACTTCCATCGGAATCACTCAACACTTCTCCTACGTTTATATTGTCATTCATATGATCTACATAACAAATAATAAAATATATTTCTTCATTATACATTTGCTTCGATATTATTCATTACATGATATATATGAATTATAACCTTCTGATGTTGTTTCTGAATTACTTCCATCGGAATCACTCAAACCTTCTCCTACGTTTACATTTACATCATCCGTGTGATCTACATAAAAAATAATAAAACATATTTCTTAACTGTACTATTACATACAATACAATATTTGCTTCGATATTATTCGTGATGTATATGATTAATACCTTCTGATGTTGTACCGCTAGTAATTGGTTTATTACATGTATCGTATTTTTCTTCTTCAAATAATGACAAATAATGGCGTTTAAATTTTTTCATCTGGCGATATTTTTGCGCTCGAAATTTTGATTTTAATTTTTTATTACCATCTATTGTCGTGTGAGGCTACAACTACATCTATTGTAATGTTTATCGTAAGCGGTCGTAACGCTCGTCGTAATCGCTATCGTAAGCTCGTCGTATGACTTGATTCAGCTTGAACTCTTTCCAATTACGACGCTCGTCTGGCGTTGCAATTATAACCTAAAGTAACAACTAACATTTATCGTAATGCTTTGATCGTGGGAATTAATGAATAATAAAGACAGAATGACATCACAAGTGAAAATTATCTGAGTTTTTATGTAAATGGAAAGCAACTCTATAAACACATTCTTTTTCGCACGTCGAGAAAGCTGACAGGTTAGGTTATGTTGTAACGCTAGACAAGCGTCGTAATTGTAAAGAGTTCAAGTTGAATCAACTTATACGATGAGCTTACGATAGCAATTACGACGAGCGTTACGACCGCTTAGGCCCGGTCTACAATGGATGTCGGAAGTCGGAGTCGTAAGAAATTGACCAATCACAGTTCATTATTCTTCGACCGCAAGGAGAATAATAGATTGTGATTGGTCAATTTCTTACGACTCCGACTTACGACATCCATTGTAGACCGGGCCTTACGGTGAACATTACGATAGATGTAGTTGTTACAGTAAACATGTAAACATTACCGCACTGTTTCGACTCGTGTGTGGAATCGGCCATCCGTCGCACAGATGACGCGCGCGCAATGGGCTACTTTCCACGCACTTTGTAATATAAAATAGGGTGTATAACACGTGCGGGTTGAGAATTGGACACTCGTGCGGGTGATCGCACTCGTGTCCAATTCTCAACTTCTCGCACTTGTTACACAAATAACTATTATATAGATATATATTGGCATAGATATACGCGGTTTACGACGACTTCATTGCTTACGATCACGATCAAAGCGTTACGATGATGTAGTTGTAGCCTATCAGTTCTTCTACAACTGATTAGCGCTCAATTTAATTATTTATTATTTATTGCCGAACCAAATTATTTATTTACCATTTATTTATTATTATTTATTATCATTTATTATTATTTATTATTATTTATTATCATTTATTGCCAGATAAATTAGTAGAGCTCTGCCAGCCGAAGGACACCGGCCGCGGCAGGTGAAGGATAAAATAATCCTGTCTCAATTTTAACGTACATGTTTTAATAAATTTCTAAAAATTAAGAAGTCGATCTAGAAGCCAAAGAGAAGAATCTCGACAGCACCTAACGTGGCGCAAGTGTGGATCGCATTAGAAACTCAGTCAAATCCAGACCTGCGCCCGTTCAATTTTATGTAAATGCCATATTAGGCGCGGACATGGCCCTGATATGGCTCTTTCCAGTTTTTCGGATAAGGCTGTGGCGTGGCAAACTTGCATGGCGCTGACAAGTGTCGTGGCGCTGGCAAGGCAATTTCTACCAGGCAATTTCTACCATCATCATTCTATCAACATTAATGTTGGTAGAAAAAAGCTATTCCGATCGATTAAAGTTGATCTATTTCTAAATTAAATCTTAACACCTATCGCTGCATTTCAAATCGATTCAATTCCATTAGTTTTTAATCAATATCGATGTATATTTGCAATATTTTTATTATAAATGCTAACTATTGAATATTTATATCGATTAAAAATAGAATTAAATCGATTTGAAATGCATCGATAGATATTAAGATTTCTTTCAGATATAAATATAGATATATTTTAATTAATTAAAATCTCTATTTTCTATTAGAGAAGTGTGAAATAATATTTGTATTAAAAAATTAGTTTAAAATAAACGTTAAACTTTCATATTTGATACAATATTTTTACATTATTGTTTAAAATTTATATGCACATGTCTATTATATTTACCTTCCAATTCAGTTGATTGGACGTTGGTTGAGATACCAGAACCAACATCGTCGATCGGACATTCTGGCAAAGGTTTTAAAGCAAAAGCTGTAATAATAAATAATAAATTCTTTAAAAAGAATTCATAAAACGTGACACTATATGTATGTGATACACATATGCACACTCCATACGTACATTTAACTTGCGGTCGACGGGCGGCATTATCGTCGTCGCTATCATCGTCATCGTTATCATCACTGGATGATTTTGTTGCAAGATCTGAAATTAAAAACTTTAAATTAATGTATTTTTCATTAACGCATTATAAATAACAGACGTAAAAGAAAGAAAAGGAGGATAGAAGAGGAAAAAAGCAGTAGTCGAAGAAAGAATACAAAATGTAGAAAAGAAAGTGAGATTATTATGTTGAGTAGGACATTAAATAAATTGAAATCCTGGAAACATATGTATTATACGATTATACATTTTGTATAAGTGTAATATAATAATTAAATCTTGAAAATTAATTTAACCGAACCATACAGAAAATCATCCTGTTTATTGTCCTTTTTTTCCCTTTTGCTTCTGTCTGACGGAAATTTGCTTAATAATGCTTCGGTATCGTCATCCGTGCTGATGCAAATAGCTCTTTTCTCCATCTTTCGGGCTTCGATATATGTATCTGAAACAAATAATAATTTCAAGAAACCGATTCAATAACAGTTACCCAGATAGTCAAAAATGTCGACAGTGAAAGCGACCAATTTGGATGTATATTTTCCTCGGCAGAGTGATGCATACATTTAGGGAACTGTATCAATAAAGATAACGGTGTACAAACGCTAGCGAATCGCTCCATCATAAAACTTTGACCTTTATCCGGATTACGACCTTCTTATTAAGAGGAATCAGTCATCAATTATGATATATCGGGATATGTAGACGTACTATCCGCTCTTTAAAGTGTTCTTTGAAATTTCTGTTACGTTTATATTTCCTGGATTTTTATTTGGATTTATTTCTCTCTCCCTCTTCCTCTTTCACAGAAATATCGAATAATTAAATATTTAATCTAATTACATAAGTCAAATATGATTCCAGTTTGTTGTGTGCAAGTGAGCTGGATGAAGTAGATTAAAAAATCTTCTAATTAATGACTTATTCAAAATAAACAAGGAATTGAACTTTCTTGGATCTCGAATAGGAATACTATGCAAGTGTATGTCATCTACGTCATTTACATCTGAATACATTATTACGTTTGTAGACTTCAATTTTTCGAAATCAACGTCAAGACAGTAAAATTTTATCAAATGGAGGAAATGTCCATCGTTACCATGTTCGGTAAACATTTTCTCTACATAAGTAACATTGTTTGAGTAATAGTTTGGACATTGAGAAAGATTACAAACGCATTTGCATTCTTTTTGGTGTGAGATAGCTCTTAAGGGGATCCTAAAGCCGTCTGTAATACCGGCTTTTTTTCTTAGCACTAATCTTTTAATTGACTTTATAGAAATGCAAAATTCTTGTCTAGAATTAAAGTACGCATCAAAATCTAGGTCATGGTCAAATTTATATCGAAAACGCGAAAACGAAAAAAAATTAATATTTTTGTTAATTTTTGGTATACGTGACGACAATATTTGCTTTGTACAAAAATTCCACGATAAATATCCACAAAATTAGACCGGCATGACCTAGGGACAACATTTAAGAACAATATCGTGCAATTAGATCTAAGATTGAAAACCTAGAAAAAAAGATTACTTTATATAACTTTTATATGTGCAAAAGCACATTCAGGTTGACAGGATAAGCAATATTGCGTGTGGCAAGAGATGGCGCAGTAATCGAACAAAGACAGATGCCTCTCGTTAGACAAGGACAGATATAGATATATGACAAGAAAACAGAATTAGAAATGTTGACATTACCGACGTCGAGGAAGTTCAGCCTTCACTTTAGGATCCCCTTAACACTATCTTATGTCGATCAGTAACATCTGCAATACACATATTAATGTAAACTTTAAGTTTTTTTGACACCTAGTGCACAAATTATAATACTTACCAATGTAACATGACGCATGTTGGGTCAGTATTATGCCCGGTGAAAAAAGATCCGAAGATTCCGTTTGCCATTTGTCTACATCAGATCTATATATATTGTAATACGTAGGAAAATACTCCGGTATTAATAGCTGATTATTATAATCAACATGATCAGGGACACTAGTGGCTAAACTCGCGAAAAGCGCAGCACATGGTATCCTAGTACCTGAAGATGTCCACACACCTATGCATTGTTTAAATACAAAAGCGAAAATTAATATAATAAAATATTTTTAATCTGTATTTGGCACATAATATTAACAAAATGTGCACAATGTGGTAGCTGCACAATTAAAATCACCTGTATAAATATCGTAGATGTCAATAGTCTTCAGTATTTGTTGATACCGTCCCACACCGCCCACAAGATACAATTTGTCTTTCAAAAATACAGTAATCATATGTCTTCTCTCAACTGGCATACTAAAATATATTTGTAAACAATTGTAACAGATATAACATTCTATTTATTTTATTATTACTTATCTATTTATTCTTATTTATCTAATAATTAGGATATTTACACTGTCTCATGAATCCATTTCTTAGATATCAAAGAATAACGCCAAACATTTCTGTTAAACGTTCCTGATCCAATACCATATTCTCCGCCACAAAGATATAAATCGTATCCTTTAAAAAATAATCGCACAAAATAATAATTAAGTGAATAAGACAAAATTATTTTAGATAAGATAAAATAGAGAAACAGACTGTACATACTTCTGGCAGTGATCTGCATTCCTTTAATAGATCCTCTAATATCTGGAGGATATTCGAATGCAGTTAGCTCAAAAAAATTATTGCCATCCCAGCAATGAATATATCGCTTGTTATCACCATCATCTTCACAAGATATAAAACTTTGTAATATCTTTTCTACCTTATTTTCAATGATATTTAAAGGAACTGTAAAATCCTGCCAAAGACAAGAGATTTTATCATTCGTAGAATTGTATTAATGGAATATAATAGCATGGTAAGAAAACAAAAATAGGTATGTAAGTATATATATATATATATACATATATATTTCAAGTATTGGGACAAAAAAAATTATGAAATTGCCGTCGAATTTTTGACAAGTCGGTACGATCAAACAAAAAGAATACCTCAGACTCAACGTGCCCACTGCGTCATACCAAGTCATACCAAAAATTATAAATTAATTGTTAAAGATTACTCCTTTTCGAATGATTATACTGAGCACAAAATAATAAACAAATGTTCTTAAACAAATGTACTTATTGAATTAAACTTCCTCATAAATCTATTTTTTTCGCCTTTCCCACACTGTTCATCGCAATTGTCGTGTGCTATGCCGAGATCTTCATCATGCTTTAGTAAAAAAAGTATATCTAAATTGATTCAGAATTGTCTGAAATGCGTTTTTAACTACACTTTTGTGAGTCAAATATTACTACTGCCTCACAAAAAAATTTATAAAAAAATCCCAAAAATTCTGCGCAACTTCCAACTAGTCTTAAAATTCTTCTAATACTCCCTAGAATATTCCCTATAAATTTAAAAAAAATAGAAAATGGGGTTTTTGAGATATTCAAATTTTTGTGTTTTTTTATTTTATTAGTTTAAAATCATTATTATAAAAATTTGGGATAATTTTTTTTTTAAACTATGATCTAAATAGCGTATTTTATGTTCAATGAATTTTTTTCTTAGACGTTGTCTAATAGGCGAAAAAATTCATTGAAATTTTGCAGTCCTCATTTTGCGCAGGCTCTATTTCGGAAACGCTGCATTTATTATAGAAACGATTTAACAGGGGTCTAATACTCGTAAAGACCTGTTAAAAAACGAGCGGCCATCAAAAATAAAAAGGTCGAAGTTTGACTCCTTGCGAATTGGCGTGGAATGCCCCATATATATATAATAACATTGAGAGTAATATATATTACTCTCAATGATATTTTTAAATATATAATATAGTCACTTTATGACGGTTATTCCACTCGCGTATAACGTCAACCAAATAAGATTCTGTAGCTCTTATATTAATGTTTCCAATTAATTTTAAAAAATTCTCCTTCGACAAGTCATAAATTGAATCGAGTGGCAGTTCACTGAAACGATCTAAGCAGACATCCAATGAAAGATCTCGTAGCACTTTAACATTTAGATCTTCTGTCCATCTCCACATCTGAATTGCATATTTAGGTGGTATACAGTGCCTCTCAATCCTGTCAGTTGAATCTTCTATTAATTTGTCTGCTGCAAACAGAATGCTTAGATCCAACAGATTCAAAAGACGAATGAGCTCGTCTTCATCATATCTCGTCGTAGATATAAATATTTTACAATGATGTATCCAATCGATGAAATCCTATAAAATTATTATGACTCTATTTCAGTTGCACAATGAAGATTATTCATAAAACTCGATACAATTTCAATATACATTTGTTTATTAAAAACTTGCGTTTTATATTGAGAATTTTGATATAATAAATTCGTTATACACAAAAAAAAAAAAACAATGTTTTGTACGCTCAAAGAGTGACTTTTTTTCTGTGAACACAGCCAAGAATTAGAATCTTCTCACCTGCAGCGAAATCGACAAAATGTGATCATAATTGATAGTGTGTTCCGTTTGGTCGTGTTCTCGATAGTCCGCGGACCAGAGCGCAGCAAAATATAGACTCTTGTCCATCAGTTTTTGTTTCTGAACTTTGAAGCGCTTTTGGTAATTATTTACAAAAAGACCCCACCTGTTAATGACCTTGACCTTGACATATGTTGTCAAGGTCACCCTCCTGAGTGACCTTCAGAAGTTTTTAGCCGGCGGTCGTTATTCGTTAAAAAGTTATTAACAAAAAAAGTTTGGCGACCTCACCGATTTCAATGACCTTGATATATGTTGTCAAGGTCATGACCCCGAGTGACCTTCAGAAGGTTTTAGCCATCGCTCGCTATTCGTTAAAAAGTTATTAACAAAAAAAGTTTGGGAAATATAATATATATAAGTGCATATATAGGTTAGTTGACGCGCTTTAAACACTTAAATACTTTTAAGGTGATTGGGCCATGTACCATATGAGTCAATATAAGGGCTAAATTTTATTTTAAGAAAAACCATTTTTATGGGTATATTCTAGACACTTGTATAATTACTGATTTTATAATGTAACTTTTCATTCGATTACGTATCAATTTATCTACTGATAAATGTAAACAGTTCAAGATTTGACTTCAGTTGACATTCGTACAAGAGAAATGTCGCGACATTGCATCTCTTCGATGTAGGCAGCTATCATGCCAGTGCCATGTGTTTGAGTGAGGTTATGTATTGTGTTTATGTTAAAAAATAATGGAAGGTAACAAACAATTTCGATAACGGGAGATTTGCTTGCAAAAGAATAGTGCTGTGGAAAGAAAACACTACACGGCGCGGCGTTGCCACATGTTCACGTCGCGTACAGCTGATCGGAAGGCCGACAAGAAACGCGACGATTCATCAGCTGTGTGAAGTTGGCCCCCCCACTACTGAAAATTCAATAATAACT